CTGACCTCAAGTGAGACACCCTGTACCCGTGACAACACACACCATGTGACACAATTAAGAGACAAAGGACACAAAACATGGACAAGACAAAGGACGTGACAGAGACTGGAACTGCTCTGCCCGGCACACAGGAATCCAATGATACAAAGTAAGACCTTCCTTTGATGTGTCCAAATAACCTGTTACAGGATACCCCTTGCACCAGACTAATTTCCAAAATTCCTCCAGAAGAGGCACAGACTTGCACCGACTCCCAGCCCCTCTCTGGATCTTTGCCCGGCACTTATCTTGCCGAGAGCCGGGGATGCCAATCCATCTTTGAGGCACAGGAGGGCCACCTGGGCTGGCTCAGAGGTTCCTGTCGTCGTGAGAGTACTCGAAGTTAACTATGAGAAAGAAAACCATAAGCGATACGTAAGTTGTGTGGCAAGGGGGTCAAACCCCAGTGATCCCTCTACTCACCAGCACCCAGGCCCTGACCGGAGTCCGACACTGTGGCTCTCACCTTCCGGGATACCTGAGTGAGTGAGACACAAAATTAGACGGCATCTCTAAAGCTGCAGTGGATCCCCGCTCCTCCTGCTGCCTCCCCAACTCACCTACAAAGCTCCTCTCTCTTCAGCTGCTCCCAAGACCGCCCCCGCAAATGAAAGGGGGAAAGGCTCAAACACTCAGCTCTCAAACATTCAGGGATTACTCACAACCAAAGCCAAAAACCTCTAAACCCTAGACACTCTTAGCTACTCTCCCTAGCCGGGACTCTATACACCCAAGCAGGGCATCGCAAGACCATCCTGCTCACCCACTGGACAGCCAGCGGCTCCACTGTCTAAGGGAACTGACACGCTGACCTGACACTCGGAGCCCTATTCCAGCTACCCACTGATCCACGGAGCAGGGCAGAGCAGTTCCAGGCTGAGCCCAAGTGAGACACCCCACACCCGTGACACAATTGAGAGACGAAGGACACAGAACATGGATGAGACAAAGGACGTGACAGAGACTGGAACTGCTCTGCCCCGCACACGTGAATCCAA